ACTTATAGTGTATTCTCAAGAATCTTTTAGCTAAAATGAATTGCACGACAACAGAACAGAAGATAAAAAAGTGTAGTTCCTGGATGATTAAGTCACACACAAGAACATGCGTGCTATACTGGTGGAGTTAAGGCCAAAACGTGTTCAAGAGGTCATTTCTGTTAAAAGAGTACATACTTTGTACAAATATAGAGATTTTTCAGTCTACTTAAGATATGTAACGATTAAAAGCTAAGGTTTTAGGAAAAATCGCCTTTTCCCGTTTGTCTCAATTAATTCGAACAATATAGTAGATGCATAAAGCTTGTACGGGAAATGTTTTACATTTTATAAATAATGTAAAACATAAATTTTTCTACATGTATATTTAACAAATTTTACTGCAAAATTTTTAATGAAAGGCACATTTTGCGAAGTATATGCAATGTACATATAATTAGAATGTACTTTTTTATTCTGTATATATAGTATAGCATTTTTACGTCAATTTTAAGAAAAAAAGAAATTCTTGAAAGTTTCTTTGAAAATAAATACTTTCTAGTAATACCAGTTAAAAATAATAACAAAACATTAAAATTGTGATTGTATTTACACCCGTACATCGTGAAATAATTAAGAATTTGAGTTGTTGAAATTTCACATCTAACATAAGCAAACTTATAAATCAATTAATAAGAATATTTAAACTCAACATTTAAATAAGTTCGTTCACAAACTCTTAAGATTATAATAAAAGAAAAATATATCATGTTTATCTTATAATTTTAGCTACAATAGTTTGTTATTTTATTAACCGTTTTAAAAACCTTCAAGAAAATAGACAGTAAATTTTAACACCAGATCTTAAAAAGTTCCAGAAAAACTGGAGACGTAATATAAAAACAATTAGAACAAAAATATATCCGTAAAAGAATCGAGTTATGGATTTGTAAATAGATATTTTGTGAAAAATTATATATATATATATATATATATATATGTGTGTGTGTGTGTTTATATACCTTTGATTATTATAATTGTTATCTCATTAATATGTGATTTTCTTGTCAGCGTGTTGGCAAATTTAGAATGTAATTAAGACTGTAGTTATTAAACAAAAGCACGCCAAAGTAGGACGTTAACAAATACATGTTGGAATTCATTGACAATTTTGAAACTATACATAAAAAAGGACAGTAATGCATTATAGAAATTAATAAAAAGGAACTATGTACATGTGAAAAAATGCGATAAAATCAGCCCTGTGTTTCCTCGCATCTTCTTAGAAGTAATTTTAATAAATCGATGACTTATTCAAACTAAAAAATACACATAAGTTTAATCAATATGGAAAGCCATTTTTTTTTTTATTCTTTTAAAAATAAATTGAGTGCATACTTACTTAAATGGAACAACAGGTGGTGTTTTAATTTTTGGTCTGCGAGCCCCAAACAGAAGCATATCCCACAAATCAAAATCCGACATTCTGCGCTCTTCCCTAACGGTTGACGATCTAAATGCACTAATTTCAGGACTTTCATCCACGTCTTTCTTTTCTTGCATAAAGCTCAAATAGAAGGCGGAGCTTGTTGTCCGAATTAAGTATCCTAGATAAAATAAAAGCGCACGTCAAGTAATTATTTATAAATCTGAAAGAATCTAAGGTAAAAATGTCTTTTGAGGGTATCGATAAAAAAAACACACACACATTCTTGAATGACCTAATGGTCTTATTATTCCATATCGACCAAAAGAAAAACTCTCCTTACAGAATAAATGTCAATTATCTGCTATATTTTTTTAACATGCAATACTATTTCTCTAAAAATGCCTTATCACTTAAGTCACGAATATCAAGTTATGTTATTTATAACTGTTCCTGAAAAGCTATCTGTGTATATATATATATAAAAGAATTTAATATATACCACAAATTTTTTAATTTAATATACGCGTTCCAATCGAAATAACATTATCATTTCAATTTCAGTTATAAGAGAACAAATATTTTATATTAAATGCATTTATAAGAAGGAATGAATGGGTTTATATGTTATATATAGTTTAATTCCCCCTCCCCTTCCAAAGATTAGAAATATATCAGTTCCAATCATATGAATAAGAAAAGATTTTACATTAAATATTCATTAAAAATAGTTATATATTATATTTTTATGTCTATATTTTACAGGAATTCACGAAAAATACTTGTTTCCACTTTATTTCTAAATAAAGCCTTTTCTCTCTGTCAAAGTTATATAATATAATATAATATAATATAATATAATATAATATAA